AGTGACGATACGATACTTGTTTGGTATCCAGAAGACAATATTGCTCAAGGAATTATTTAAAATATGAACTTTTTCTGGCCCACACATATTGCTAAATACCATCGTGCTGTGACTTAAAAGAAAAGCCTTTAAAATTTTCCCCGGTAACAGCGCCGATAGATACTTCATGATCCAAAAATTAAGCAAAATGTCTGAACTCTTTCTGAGCTTATTATTTGTTCTTGTAATATCTTGAAGACGCTTAAAAAATTGAGAATCTCGATTTGGCTCAACAATTGTCTGTCCGTTTGCATTGGAGATACAAATTCGCAACAGAGCAATGGAAAACCTATTATCTAACGTTAAATTTGCATTAGGCATTGACATTCTTATCGGCAAGATAACTGTTAATGCATCAGGAATTGGTTTCTTGAGCTGCAAGAAAAATACAGGTTTATATTAAACAACTTTAAAATAGATTGATGTAATATAATTAAATAATTATCCAAAAACTCTTCTGATTTTCTAGATATTATTTAAATGTATTTTTGGATGTCTCTAGACTTATTTATCGCTTGAAAGCTTTACATATACATACGCGTAAATGATATTTGTGTACACTAGCAGAAAAAGCAGCCAATACTACATCTTCAAATTTGGCACCTGTATTTCTTCTTATCTCGCGAATTTTCGTCAAAAGATTCTGCGATTTATCATTTACCTCATCGTTATCTAACCAATACGACATTATTTTTTCACCCGTTTGAGGTGGACCATGTAGAGCGCTATAAAAATTTACATTTAATTATAATAAAACTCATTAAAAATTAGTAATGGAGAGTGGAAGAATTGCAAATATATCTAAAAAAAAAAGTTAAATAAATCCGACGATTATTTATTAATTTATAAAAGCCTTTATTCAAAGGATATTGGTTTTAATACTTGTAAACTATATTTAAAATATACATATTATATATATAGTAAGTTAAAATTATACGATCGCCAGAATTTGTTTGTCACGAAAGTCTGATCTTCGAAATTAGAAATTTTTGAAATTAGAAAACGTCTTTCTATTATCTTCTGTTTGTTATTTTTCAAAGATTAGGTATTCAGAGAAATTAATTCCTTATTTATTTATTCTATTTTTAATAAAATGGATTAAACATATTAAATCTATACTATAAATACTGAATGTACTTTTTATCCATCTTACGAACAGCTTGTTGAATGATGAATTTCGGAAAAGAAAGCAAAATCATCGTTAGCCGCGTGACATCTTTAACTGTACTATACATCTGTTTCAGTACATCTTTGAAATTCAACCATGTACGATTGATCGATATTTTCGCTTGCTGTTTCAACGACATGATCGTTACGTTATTAGAAAATTTCATTGATGCATGAAAATGGTCTCGTAGATCTTGCATTAATCGTAAGAACGTTACGTAAGTAAACGGCGTCGATGCGGCAAGGATATTCTTTTCATAGAATCGCACAACATCCATCTCGTTCTGAAAATTCCTCTCCGAATTTCGCAGTGCTGGAATGATTTCTTTGAAATATCTTCCAGTCTCGTCTGATGAGACGATATTCTTGATTTTTACTCTCGTCTCTTTGGTCTCAGTCTCCTCGATGATCGTTTTGAGTAACAGGCCCAGAAGGGCTACTCCATCGCCTAAAGAATGATGAACACGAAATAACATAGGAATTTTCCGGGTATCAGTATCAAAACACTTTTCGAAAGCCAAAAGGCCTTCTTCGAGATTAGATCTCGACTTCGGACAACGTTTTCCGACGAGAATTTCCCACGCGGCTTTGTGATTATCGGGCAACGGTTTATTGCATACATTTGCCAAAGTCTTCCTGAATGATTCCCCGGAACCATCTTCGCAGGACCCGTCACAATTAGCGTTCACACATTCCAGCCATCTGATTCTGTCTTTCAGGTCTACTTTCTCGCTTCTTTCCCAAAAATAATAGCCGAACTTCTGACTTCGAAGATAGAACAGTTTTTCAATCGTCGTGTCAGCAGCCTTTAAAACAATGCGATCGTTTATCAAATTCCTGAAATCCTCCAAAAAAATTTCGTTTGAGTTCTGCGCGACCTTTTCCAATATCATCAAGATGTTGATAACGGATAGAGAAACAGTGTCTTCAACAGCCCATACACAATCTGTGCCTTTCAAGAGACCAGCGAACTTGTTCTTTAACTGGATTTTTAATACAATTTCGATAAAATGACGATAGATGTATAAAAAGATTAAAGTAATCACGATAAGCGGAGCGAATAAGAAGATGCAAGCAATTCCCAATAATTCCCATAATTTCCGACGCATAATTCTACTCAAAACAATCGAATTTGATCCTTCTGATTGCATCTCTCGTCTGAAACCTCAAAAAGTTGTCGATTAACTAATTCTAAATATACCAGTTTTAGTAAGCTTTCTTTATTAGCCTCATTAATACTGAAATCTAAAATAACTCCAATTTAATTTCTTAAGCTGAATAAAATTATAGCTACAAAAATAATTTTAGACAACGTATCCAGGTAGCAAACTGACATTATTTGACATCAAAATGCGACAACATATAACAAATAATAATAAGTAACGGGCAAAACAACATATAACATCGCATTACTAACTAATTTTAAATCGACCCGCCAATTTAATTAATTGATTTTGAAGTTGACTTACAAAAAATTTCCTTTTTATCTCACTTGTTTTTGGGAATGATCCCAGGATACATGTACCGCGGAGACTGACAAATGTGTTACTCATATAGGGAAGCCACAGATCTTTCGTCTACTTTCGCAATCAGATTATAACTAAATCCCTTAATTGTCTTACTACGTAAGAGTTGTTTCTGCCAAGCATTATTTCTCTTCAATTTCAAACGCGTTCGTTTAATGCTTGAAATGATCCTTCCAGATAGGCATATATTTTACCTTATTCAAAAATTTTGTTTTTAAGAACAATTTACAGTAGGTTTTTTTATTTTAAATCTGTGCATCTTATATATAATTTTTAAGTTTTGTTCGTCAGAATCCAGCACTTTCTGCAAATCTTTTCAGTATTTCCCTTAGAATTTACGCTTTCTGCGATGAATAATTTTTGTTGCAAAATATCGATCTACAATATACAGACCACTTCAGTAGAAATCAGATAATGCAAAAACAATAACAATATTATGTAATGCATATATTATATGATTTATAATTTACGAATTAAAAATTAAACACGGAACTTAATACAATATAGATCCTTGCAGAAAATCCTTTGGAAGTATTAAGTTGGAAGTATTAAGCATCAATATATTTGTTGGTGCTTTGATACTTAAGATAAGTTATAAATAATTACTTTGCCAGTATTAAATTGAATCAAATAAGGGGAAAACTTAATTAATTTGACGCATAAATTAATATTAAACTATATGTAGTGTATTGCAAAAAGATTTTATACATGTATCTCATTTTCACGATATTGTAATCATTATAAAAATTATCTTCTTAAAAAAAAATAAAAAAAG